TGCGATATTTCATACAGTGGGAGGGAGATTGAAGGGGAGAAGAGACAATGCTGCTTTTAGAAAGTGGGGGAACAGTTGGGGTTGTAAAAGTGCGGGGGTAAAAACTAATGTATTTTTTGATGTTGTTGTATATATGGGCTTTCAAAGATGTGCCACATTATTCCCAAAAAAGCTGGAGTTGCCCGTTTTATTTGCTCCCATTCTACCTCACTGGTTACTTCTCCCTAATTGCTTATTAAAACCCCCTTAAATGAACTTTTTGTGCCAACTTTCCAACACATTAATTAATTGTTGTAGCCAATTAAGTGCCGTTGTGCAAATGAGCCTCATCACAAATGGTCCTATAGGGCTCACCCCTCCTCTTCTCTCCACGCTTTCTCCGTCTTCCAGCCCCGTCTTTCCCAGCTGCCCTAGCACTTCCAAGACGACGTGTGCCAGAGAAGCAGAAACTGTGTCCCGATATCGCTGCGCTGCTCGATGGAGCGCGTCCAACATCCCTGGTCTCAAAAGTTGTACGAAACTGTAGGTACAAAGTAAAAACTCTATTCAAATCACAACCACCAATTCAGAACTAATTTGTTGTTTACTGTCTGAATAATTTGGCTGATATCGTTGCATTTTTCACCAAGAGAGAGAGCGGCTAGAAAGAGGAGGGTAGGTTACTTCAAAGCACTCAATACACTTGCCAAGCTGTTATACGCCTCTTGTGTTTAAACTATGAATGCATGAATAAAATCAACACAATTTCACTTTTAGAACTACAACAAAGATATTGGGAAACTCCACTGACAATAGAAAAGAGTGTTGTTGAGGCCAGCAGGCGTAGGTTTAGAAAGTGTGGTAGAAAACGTATGTAAGTCTCTTTGAAGAAAACTGTTGTTGTGTCCCTAGGCAAGGCACTTCACCCAGTATGCGAGCGGTGTGTGTGTGTGTGTGAGAGAGAGAGAGGGCTTGGTTCTGTCAGTATTCCCCAGGGCAGCTGTGGCTACTGCAGTAGTTAACCACCACTACACCTCTGTGGAGTCCTTCCGTTTCCTGGGCACCACCATCACCAGGACCTCAAGTGGGAGCCGACCATCAGCTCCTCATCAAGAAGGCCCAGCAGAGGATGTACTTCCTGCGGCAGCTCAGGAAAGCCAAGCTGCAGTTCTACACGGCCATCATCGAGTCCATCCTCACCTCCTCCATCACCTCCTCCATCACCTCCTCCATCACCTCCTCCATCACCTCCTCCATCACCGTGTGGTTCGCTGGAGCCACAGTCAGGGACAAACAGAGCCTACAGCGCATTGTGCGCTCTGCAGAGGAAGTGATCGGCCGCAGCCTTCCATCGCTGCAGGACCTGTACGTCGCCCGAGCTCGAGGCCGGGCTGGTCGTATCACAGCCGACCCCTCTCACCTGCACATGGACTATTCCAACCACTCCCCTCTCACCTGCACATGGACTATTCCAACCACTCCCCTCTCACCCTGCACATGGACTATTCCAACCACTCCCCTCAGGCAGGAGGCTGCACTCTAAAAAAAAATGCATTGGCAAAACTTAATAAAATTGAGGCAGCATTTTGCATGCATCTTTTTAAGTTTTGCGAACAAGACTGTGTTTTAAGTATTCTTTGTAAGTCTTTTATCATTGGTCCAGCACAATTTTTTCAATACCACCAACTTGGATAATTGAGTTATAAAGACACTTTGTTAAGTATATTCAGCAAGTGTTTTAGCATCAGTTCAACTCAATTTTAATAATACCACCAACTTAAATAATTACATTGAAAATAAATCTTTTTGAGTATATTCAACAAGTGATTTTCAGTCAGGAATACGTAATCTTTATTCAAATGCCATCTTTCACAGATCATATTCACAAAGCAGTTTAAAATTGTTAATTTTAGGCAGTAGTCTCTCACTTTACACACATGGAAGAGGGCCTGTACAGTCACAGGTAAACATGTCCACTTTAAAGTAGTTATTTAATATTGGAGGACGACACAGGGAGTATTGCCTTTGGCTTGGCCCTCTCGATCATGGTTGATAAAAATAAATACAATTACTTATTTGGTCAAATTAGTTTATTCAGAATGTTGTTCAAGTATTTTGCTGTAGGACTTGCTTCATATTCAGTTTTAAAATTAATGCTCAAATGTAGAATTTTTAAGAAGTTTATATTTTTCGCTGCAATGCATTCTGGGTAGCGTCGCTGCTTCGCCACATTTTGTTTTGAATCAACTCAATATATTTGTTTTGAATCAACTCAATATATTTGTTTTGAATCAACACAATATATTTGTTTTGAATCAACACAATATATTTGTTTTGAATCAACACAATATATTTGTTTTGAATCAACACAATATATTTGTTTTGAATCAACACAATATATTTGTTTTGAATCAACACAATATATTTGTTTTGAATCAACACAATATATTTGTTTTGTCATTAATGGACCCCCAGGCTTACAAGAGGATTTTCATGTTGAGCAAACTCAAAACTTCTCCGTTGTCCAGTTATGCCAGAATATCAAGTTCAAATTTGTTACAAAAATGAGTTAGGATTCTTGTATTAACTTTTAATTGAGACGGGCATGTTTAAAATGAGTTGCAACCACACTAATTTAAGTAAAACTGGCAAAAATCAATTATTGAGTTTAGTTCAGTATGTAATTTGAGTTAAAAATACTAACCACCTGAATCATTTCTTTGAGTGTGCGGTCCATCAGGACTAGAACCTCCCGCCAGTGGCGGCCCATCATACGTCACTTTACTGCACTGTACTGCTGTCACCTTACATTGTGTGCACCATGTGCACTTGTATATTGTTAAATAAATTAAATAAATTTAAATTTATTCCTTAGAAGTGTTTTTTATTCTTTATTTTTCTCTGACTGTTGCACTGAGCCAAAGCACTTTCCAAGTCTGTGACTTCCTGTTACTTACGTGGCAATAAAAATTATTCTGATTCTGATACGGAATGAATGAATAATGCCATGTGAAGCATCTTTAAGCGTCCATAGAAAACTGATACAATTTTTAGTATTATTAAAAAAACAATGTGCATGACTTGGCTCTTCTGATTTATTTAGATTACTTGTTATACCCGCACGTGATTGTGGATTCAGAAGAGATCGAATAAACACTGAGATGCCCTATAATTTCCAAATGTGTATTCTCTCTGATTATGACATTTGACATTTAGTTTTGGTCTTGGCCAGGCATGGGCAAACTGTTCCTCCTGAGGGCCACATTGGATTATAAACTGGCTGTTGGCCAGACCTAATTTCCAATATTTTTCTCAGGCTTAATTTTGTTATTTTGTTAATTTTCATAAATATAGTACATAAAATTATATACCTGCAAAGCGCAACTGTGGCTCCAGAGTTCTGTAAGCAGCACCGAGGGATGTTATTTTCTTTATACTATATCTATATAAACTGAGGAAGGCTCAGGGGCCGGATAGAAACATCCAAAGGGCCGCATCAAGCCCACGGGCCAGGGTTTGCCCACCACTGGTCTAGGCCTTTTTAATCTTTGCTCTCTTAGTCTAGGGTGGGTGCAATTCTAAAAAATATTGAATGCCGCAGAGTAGAGTACCGGGACTAATTGAGGTAGTTTAAAAATGACAAAATCCGACCCTTGCATTACAATGAGACAGGCTCTGAACTTTCCTTTCTTGTGCTCGTGTTCGGCTGCCTCCTCCTACAGACATGGCACCCACCGGGAGGATTAGAGAGAGGTTTAGTGCCAACCTCACTCCCAGTGCCACCCCGTCCCTGGGCACAGAGGGTCCCTTTTGGCATGGCAAGGTGAACTAGCCTCTGATTGATGGGCACTGTTTCAGCCCTGCTACTGCACTCCCAAAGGCCTCCCTTCGCCTTTCTCCTATTGAAGTCTTGGCAGCGGTGTCCACCTCCTCTTGATGCCAGGGAGCCAGCTAAAACTCCTGGTGGGCACATCAATTACATAGCGGCACCTCCCCTCTTTTCCTCATGTCTATCTGAGGGACTGGACTGAGTGCCAATCTGGTCCCTCTCCATCCCCAATGCGCATGCTCACTTACTGTATGTGTCATGACAGCACAAATGCAAGAATAAATGCACTGAGCCTCTCTCATTCAGCAGGTCAAGCTTGGTGGGAAAATCCTCCCCAGAGAGCCCTTTACTCTCAACCCAGGCCCAGCTGTGAAGAAGGCTCAGGTGTGCGCACTAAAGAACAAGACTAAACAAAAATAGGGTTAATTTTTGTTTGTTATAGTCTACTATTTTGGCCTACAAAATAATGACTCCAAAGTGAAATCATATAAATATTGGGCTTTGCAAAGAAGACACTCTGGAGGTTACATTTAAGGCATAGATAGATGTTCTTTTTAAGTGGCGTAACACAATTATTCTAATTGTGCAGTGGATTTTTGGCGCTTCATTGCTTTTGGCAAAACATGAGTCATTTACTCGCGGCGATGCAACGCCATCTGGAGTATTTATTGGACCATTGTCTCCTCCACTCTGCGTAAATGAAGCTGAGATGACACACAATATAGTACTCATTCCGTTGATTATAATACGAGCAAAATATTGTGGTTTTCTAAGGACGATTTTCAACAAAAAAGTGAATTATTTTATTGTTTAATAGTACATAATATATCCTGCAAAATAAGTCTTTTTGCACAACCTGCGTGATTCTATCTATGCCAAAAGTAACGCGATCAATAAAGTTTATCTTATCTTTATTAAAACAACTCTGTTAGCAAGCCCAAATGTTCAAGTTCAGAAAATAACAAAAAACATCATTTCAGAGCATAATTCTTAAAACTGAAAACGCTGAGACTTGTCAATAACATATTCTAACACATCTTTCCTTTTGAAGACAGACAAGTGTAGCATATGGCTTTATAAAACATAACATTATGACAAATTGTGTCTTCCTTGCACAAGGCTAGCATGCTGTTAGTATTCCTTCACCTAATTAGTGACTTATTAACATAAATTATACTCTTAATGTTTAATAATGAGGAATACTCACGTGAGCGACAGGCGACAGGACGGGCTCAGTCAGTACGGAAGCCCGGAGGAAAAGCGAAGCAGGGACAGGACAATGGCGGCGGGGCCTGGAGTTTCCGTGCAGAGTAACAACAGTCCAGCGAGAGAATTAAGCATCTCCGTTTCACAAGGAGGATTTCAAAGTCACACAGAGCGGATAAAAACAGAGGATGTGTCCGGTAAGAGCCCGTGTGTAGTTGTTACAGGAGAGCCGTGCGCAGGCTGCAGCTCAGGCTAATGCTAATGTGGCTAATGCTAATGTAGCTAATGCTGATGCAGTAATGCTAATGTAGTATGTGCTCCAGCCTTTGTTTATTACACTGTTATAGATGTGATAGAAATGAAACTGCACGCATTTAAACCACAGACTGTGCACCTGTCGTGACTCATTATAGATTTGTGAAAAAGATGGGTTTTATTTGAACTACTTGGGATCCCCTGTAGCATAGGCTGCTAACAACAGCATCATAATAACTGGGTAATTAAGATTTAAGATCTTTTATTCGTCCCACAATGGGGAAATGTCAGTGTTGCATCAGCAGTTTCAGAACAAGAATGAGGAGTACACTTGATAAATTAACAATAACTCTATTCTAAATAAAATAATAATGTCTAACTCTAGCATAAAAAAGAAGCAGTTCAAAACAAGCAAGTCATAATCATGTTGTTGAACATATTATTGAATGGTTGTTGTAGCTTACATTGGGAATGCATTTCTCTGCTTTGGTTATTCACTTTCAACACGATTTCATTTGTTTACACATTTTTTTTGCACCGAACATGCATCCCATACGTCATTATGCAAAGTTGCTATAATCTGAGAGGTTTTCTTCAGTTGGAAACAAGAAAATCCAGAACTAACGTTAAAAATAGATGTGTGTCTGTCATTGGAGTAAAAATGTGGAATAATCTTAATGACCAGCTTAAGTTAATTAATACATTATCATTATTTAAAACTACCTTAAAATGTGAAATAATTAAGTCATATATCTTGTCTTAGAAGTAATAATAATAAAGATATAACAAAAAGAAATAAGTGAAAAAAATAAAAATACATTGTTCTACCAAATGTGTAATTTATCTTTTTGTTTGTTTATATAGTTGTAGTAGCTAATGACCTGTATGTGTCATGATGTCAGGTTGGCCTTATACAAGTTGCTTCAGCCCAATCCTATTTTTGGTTGTAATATAGTCAGTGAATGTAATGTGTTATTGATCAAACAACTGACCAAAAATAAAAATTTCATTCATTCATTCATGCAGCACTTTGCATCTGGAGAAAATATCAACAACCAAATAAAAATGCAAATAAGTGTTGGATATGTTTAACTGTGGCTGTTATTTTGCCTGTTTTTATTCCCATTACAAGATTGTTTGCAACTTTTTATTTGCAGAAACTGAAAAGCAGAATCGAGTCGCTGCGTTGCTGGAGAGGCTTCATGCCAAACACAATGCCTCACGACCGTGGCAGGAGACGTCCAAAGTGGTACGACAAGCAATGGCAAGTAAAAATAACTTGAGTCCAAATCGGAGGTTACTACTAGGGCTGCACAATATATCGAAAAAATATCGTTATCGCGATATTGGTGCGTGCAATATCAATATCGAAAAGATCCACGATCAAAATTAAAAAAAGACAACAAAACAGGCAGACACATCAACATTCAACAACAACAACAAACACACAAAAAAGTATATAAATATATGCATTTGAATGTCATTAATGTTGTGCTTATTTTTTGTTATTTGGCGTTTCACTGCGGATTGCAATTTTAGGTGAAAGACAAAAATATCGCAATATTATCGTTATCGCAATACTAAACACTCATATCGAATATCACTCTTATTTCCAGTATCGTTCAGCCCTAGTTACTACAGCCTGTCTGTTTACACTAAACAAGTAAACGTCTGGATTGAAGTTGGCTGGATGACTTTGTGTTAGTGTGTTTATGATCTCAAATACTTCTTTGTGTTAGCGAGGCAGAGGGCAACACAAAGAGACAGAGGGCCTTATTTGGCCTGCTTTGGTTTAAATGATCAAACTATGTATACCTTAATTAAGCGGCACGGTATGGCTGAGTGGATAGCACTCTCGCCTCTCAGCAAGAAGGTCCTGGGTTCGAATCCCGGTCGGACCAGGGCCTTTCTGAGTGGAGTTTGCATGTTCTCCCTGTGTCTGCGTAGGTTTCCTCCGGGTACTCCGGTTTCCCCTACCACTAAAAACATGCACAATAGGACTGTGCATGTGCCTCCTGTACTGGCCACTCCCATCTCTGTGTGGAGTGAGAGACAAATGCCCAAAAATAATAACAATTGTAAACCGCTTTGAGACTCTGGTCTGTGAAAGGCGGTATATAAATAAAGATTACTTACTACTTACTTACTTACTTACTTAATTATCAGACTAAGTGGCGGTTTTTGCCATAGTTTGGCCGGGGTTGACTCATTCTCTGGAGCGACTCACTGTATGTGTGTTTTATAGCGTCTTTCACAGAGCAGAGTCACAAAGCGGTTTACACTTGTGTGCCTGACCCGCCTGGGAGCGCATCAGTCCTGCACCGAACCTGTCCGCGCTCTGCGGCCGCTGCGTGGTCCACGTTCTGTAGCTTAGGTCCTGGATCCACAACCCGTCCGTCTGTGCACGAGCGGATCCCTTTCTTAATATATGGGTCTCCCCGAGGGTTCTCACTTTTTTCCCACTGGGTTTTAGCGACAGTAGCTCAGTTGGTAGAGCATTGGACTTTGGGCCCAAAGGTCGTGGGTTCGAGCCCACCATGGGACCTTCTCCACGGACTCCCACTGATGCCTACTGTTGTTGTGTCCTTGGGCAAGACACTTAACCCACTTAGCCTATAAGGAGCGCGGATATGATGTTCGCTGCATGCCTTGATGTGTATGTGTATATATGTATGTACTATATGTGTATGCATCAAACTGAAATTTCCCCATTGTGGGACAAATAAAGGACCTTCTTCTTCTTCTTCTTTAGTGAGTTTTTTCTTGCCGATGCAGAAGGGTCTGTTGGGCAGTTATTGTCCAACTAGGACTGTGGTGATCCAGGACACTTTAAGATTTTACAACATGTATGACATTTATCAACATTCATGGACATTGTTGGTCTCTCCCTCTGGACCAATTCATATGTGTATATTTTGTGTCTTAACCGTTGATTCTCTGATCTGTGTTGGTGATTTCAATGGTTTTGTTAAGTCTCTGAGATGATGCTGTTGTGATTTAGGGCGATACAAGAATATGTTGTTGCTGTGAGCATTTCTCCTCTCACTCCACACAGAGATGGGAGCGTTCTATGCTAAACATACTCTAGTACGACTTATACTGTATATGTTGTTTTGCTTCTTTATTATGCATTTTTGGCTGGTGCGATTTATACTCCGGAGTGACTTAACTTATGATCCGGTAACTAAAATAATGTTTTACAGGAAAAACGTGGTGTTTTGAATACTGCAGGTCACCAGCTCCTGCTTACTTGTCTGGAGACACTACAAAAGGCTCTAAAGGGTGAGGCATCTGAACATAACAAAACTAAATATGCTTTTTTTCTGACTTCCCTATTTACTTTTTTACCTTACCTCAGTTACCTCTCTATCTTCAATGACCGACCGACTGGAGTCCATAGCCAGACAGAACATGTGAGCCATAGTTTCCCTGTATCTTACTTTAAAGGTGCCAAAAAGGTCTGCGGCTGAACCAAATATGAACGTGTTGTGTGTCGTTTGTGCAGGTTGGGTTCGCATCTCAGCCCATCGGGGACAGAGTGTTACATCACATCAGATATGTTTTATGTGGAAGTCCAGTTAGACGCCACAGGACAGCTGGTGGACGTGAAGGTGGCTCATCAAGGAGAGAATCCCACGGTTAGTTCAGGTTTTGATCATGTACTCAATAACAAACAAGTGGGACCTGACATGTGCTTCTGTTCTTAGAGTTGTCCTGAGCTGATTAGACATCTGAGGTCGGTAAACTATCAACATTACTGACATCTGTGACGTGACATGTTTTTGAGAGTAGGTTATTATTTTATGTTCCAGAGAGAAAAACTTTGAAGAATTCTCAAAACATCTAAAAGGACTAGTTGAGTTGTATAAACTTCCAGGAGATAAGTAAGTTCAAAGTGTCTTTTGTTGATGTGCATTGATGTGTTTTTGGCAACTTTCTCTTACTATGATCTGTTTGTTTAAAGTAAATTAAAAACCAAGATGTATATTGCACTGCAGTCCCTGGAGCTCGATCTCACGAAGATGATGCACATGTTCAGGTATTTGTTTTTAAAGGGGAACTCGTTGGAATGTCCTAACTCTTATTGACACCGTTTGTTTTGTTGTAGGTTGGCGACTAGCGCAACTGCAGTGGAGACTATTCTTCACGGAGGTGTTGGACTTCTAACAGCGAGAAGTGGAGGGCACCTTGTTACCCTTCAGTGTTACGTGTCTCCTTATGACATATTTGAGGAGGAGCTGGACTTAACAGACAGCGATGGTAAATATTGCACACATTACTTCATAGATCAGCGGCATATTTTTGCCCTTCCTACTTTTGCTCTTTATTTAACTTATTGTTTTTTGCAGTTCCACAATCTCTGGGTATTGGTGTGTCAGTGACAATTGAAGGAACATCTGCCATATACAAGTTACCAATTGCTCCCCTTATTAGTGGATCCCACCCAGTGGACAATAAAGGGTAATTTAACACACACAACAATCTGATTTTGCTACTTGCGCGATGCCCTAATGATTTGCAGGTTGTTGGGTCGTTTGGCATTGATCTAATCTAATGCATTATATCTGTCTTAGAAGAATCCGATATTGGCTTCTAACCCCTTAGATAACAGTACACTCAACAAAGCAAAGCTTAAAAAGATACCGACTTTTTCATTTTGAAACCAATCATTTTCCTTGTGCCCTGGTCCTGTATCAGGTCAATGGTGTGCAGTTCTACAAACATCCAGCAGGTGGCAAACTCTTTAATACACTTTAATACTTAAATGCATCAGAAAGACTGAGGTTGGTGGTTCTGGTTTTTTAAACTCTCCATCAGCGAGGGTCTCTTCTCCCACTGCAGATTTAGCTTATCCTGTGGTACTTCTCCATACAGCTTATGTGGGAAAGATTCCCTAAACTGAAAAGCATTTTGGGATTTTCCAAGTAGCGAATTACTAATAAATCAAAGAAAACCTAACTTTAACTTTTTATGTTTTATGTTTTAGGACTCCATCTTTTTCCAATGTGTCCAACTCCAACAGTGTGGACTTGCCAGCTTGTTTCTTCCTCAAAATGAACCAGCCTATGCCCTTTTCTTTGTCCTTCATTCAAAAATTGGGCAATGCTACTTGTAAGTTCATCAGCATTATTATTAGATGTCATTAAACTAAAGCTTCCTATTGAATATTAATGTGAATTATTTCATTTTGTAGCCATTCCTGTGTTTGAGAGCCAACCAAGCCTCTCTCCGCTCTACCAGCTCATTGTCCAAAGCCAACTTCAGCTCCTGGAGGAAGGGAACGCCTTATCAACCCCACACAACATGCACTTCTATTCTGTAATTCACTCTACATGAAAACTTTGTACTTCTTTGGTGACCACCTGTTACTAAGCCTCTGAATGCATTATATACAGATATTGCCTGATCAACAGCACTGTTATTTCTTAAATGGAGACGCCCCAGTGGAGGACAGTTATTGTCTCCAAGGAGCGCTGGTGACCAAGGTCCCTTTTCGGCACCCGGCACAGGTGCCCCTCCTCCTGGACATCATCCGGCACCAAGCTGCATACAACACATTGATTGGTAGCTGTGTCAAACAGAAATCTCTCAAAGAAGGTATGTTGACTTAATATAATGTATGTTTATACAGCTCGAATAAGATTAATATATTTATCATTTCTGAAATCTTTTCAGATACGGCAGGGCTTTTGCAGTTTGAAGTTTGTCCTCTCACTGACTCCAGTTTTAGTGTTTCTTTCCAACATCCTGTTAATGAGTCTTTGGTCTGTGGTAAGTCAAAATGTTAACTTAAAAATAAACAATGGCCTGTTGTTTCCTGTAAATCTCACATGTATCACTATTTTTTTCAAGTTGTGATGGAGGTCATTGACTCTCGTCAAGTTTCCTGCAGACTTTACAAAGGCCTGTCAGATGCTCTAATATGCACCGATGAATTCATCACCAAAGTAGTACAACGGTACGAAAGCGTTGCCACTATGTACTTCCAACATTCAACATTATTATAACCAGTTCTATGTATTTTTTATCCTAGATGTATGTCGATACCTGTAACCATGAGAGCCATAAGGAGGAAGGCAGAAACCATCCAGGCCGACACTCCGGCTCTTTCACTGATCGCTCAGACGGTGGAGACTATGGTGAAGAACAACTTGCCGCCTTCAGGCAGCCCCTCCTACAACATGGCAGCTGGAGATGCCATGGGACTACCAGGACTCACAGGAGGCAACACGCCCACTGGAGCAGGGCCTAACTATTCTGGCCCCATTTCTACATTATTTGGGATGTCACGGTCTGAGAGAGAGAGTCAAGGTGGAGAATGTATGGCCCAAGGTGCGACGGCGGCCCAGCAACAGTTACAACAACAACAAGCAGCTCAAGGAAACGCAGATGACTACAACAAAGTCACTCAGAATCCAATACTCACAAGCTTGTTACAGATAACAGGAAATGTGGGCTCTAGTCCGAGCTCCCAGAATACTCCACAACCTCATCAAACCCCTCCCCCCACCTCCTCCCCAGCCAGCAACACTAAGAACCATCCTATGCTCATGAATTTACTAAAAGACAATCCGGCACAGGATTTTGCAGCTCTGTACGGATCGAGTACATTGGAGCGTCAGAATTCATCTGGCTCTCCGCGGACAGAGGGAGCAAACGCAGCCTGTCCCTTGAGTGGAAAAGTGAAGAAAAAGCGACGACCGATGGAAAAGGGTGGTGCAATGCCAGGGGCTGCCACTGCTCCTGGGTCAGGAGGAGGACCAGGTTTGGGGATCAAGGGTCCACTGCCTCCACATCTCCAACACCATCAGGTCACACATGAGGATGACTTTCACCGGGAGCTGCTCTCTATGGACGTAGATCCGTCTCAAAATTCAATATTTGACGTGAATCTTGCTGGAGATGGATTAGACACTCCCCACAGCATCACGCCTGCACCCAGCCAATGTGAAACTCCTCCTTCTGGTCCCAGTATCTCCTACCCACAATCCCAACAGCAGCCACCTCCGGGCGCTGTGCCTCCACGGATAGTGCGTCTCTCCAGCTCTGACAGCATTGGTCCTGATATCACAGAAATATTGTCGGCCTTACCTGACCAAACAGGTAAAAGCAGTGGAGGGACTCAGCTTGCTTTGGGCAGTGGAGAAGATGCATGCCCTCTCGGTACACCCATCCGGGATTCTTCTAGTTCAGGTCAAGGAAGTGCAGTCTTTGATTCAGACCTTTTCAACACTAACAGTAATGAAAACCCTTTCACTGATGCAGCAGACCTGATCGCTGAAGCAACAGCAACTGCAGCCACTCCCACCAGCGACTCCTCCTCCACAAACTTCTTTCCTGATGCTGCCGACTTTAACCCTGATCTTCTGGCGTCTAGCCATAGTTTTTCCCAAAACTACTTTGACGACAGTTCACCAAGTGCTGATGGAGACATGGATCTAGTCAAAGGTTTTAGTGGAGGTAGCCAACAGAATACACCGGCAGGAACTCCTCAGAACCCAACCCCACATGGACAAAGCACCCCTGACCCTTCCCTCAAAGATCCCTTTGACATGGGAGGGATTGTATTCGGAGGCAGCAGTGGAGGAGGAAAACCACCTCTGGGCGCTCCAGATTTAGGAGACACTCACAGTGCTGGATCTCAGAGCCCGATTATGATGGCACTGGGTCCAAGTAGTGATTTTAAAAGTAGCGACATGAAAACGAAACCACAACAGCCTGGGGTGACTCGGCCAAAAGAAGAGAGCGGAGGCGGTGGAAACAGCAGCTCAGTGATGGGGAGCAGCTCATCAGAAGGAAAACAAGTGAAGAGGAGCCGGACACCCTCCAGTGAAGGGAAATCCAAAGACAAGCCCCCTAAGCGCAAAAAAATGGACACAGACGGAAAGTCTCCGTCCCATAGCTCAGGGGGTCGGCCTTACACCCCTCCAAGTGGAGGTCCAGGTTCTGGGGGGAGTGGAGGAGGCTCCAAGTCACCTGGGAGTGCAGGGCGCTCACAAACCCCTCCACGGATCCCTATATTAACTATCCAGATTGGAAAAGGGACTATAACAGGCAGGAAAAGCTCCTCCCATAGTGGAGATAGCTCCAGTAGCTCCACCACCAGCAGCAGTGGGGGAGGAGGGGCAACAGGGAGCAGTAAAAGTCACCACTCCCACTCTTCTTCATCAGGAAAAATCAAGTCTAAAGAAGGGTCTTCACAGAGCAGTAGCTCCAAACCAGGAAGTGCAGGCACAGGAGGAGGAAGTTCCTCTCAGTCCAAAAACTCCTCTCAGGGAATGGGCTCCGGAAAACCAGGCTCTTCCCCAATTACCAAACATGGACTTTCTGGACCTGGGAGCAGTGGCAGCAGTAAAATCAAACCACAGGGGGGCAAGCCTTCTGGTTCACTCATGAATCCCGGCATAAAGCCTAATATCTCCCCCTCCCACTCACGCTCCACTAGTTCAGGTGATAAAATGTCCTCCCCAATGAAGTCACAAGTCCCAGGAACACCTCCATCCTCAAAAGCCAAATCGCCCATAGGCTCAGGAAGCAGTGGATCTGGTGGATCAAAGTCTTCCTCAAGTGGAGGCTCTCAAAAACCGATGGGCGGGGGATCTTCAGGTGGATCAGGGTCCTCTTCATCTGGTGGTGCTTCTTTTCCTGGAGGCTCTCAATCTCAATATGGAGGTAGTGGAGGAGGAGGCGGAGGGAGTGGGGGGAGCAACAGCGGTAACTCAAACAGTGGAGCAAACAATCAAAATAACTCAAACAACCCCAACGCCAAAGGAAAGTCCCCAAGTCGTAACAAAAAGCCCTCCCTCACGGCTGTCATCGACAAACTGAAGAGCGTAGGGGGAGCGGGAGAGGATGGGTGTGAGGTCGGGCCTCAGGGAGGGCCCCCTGGTCCTGGATCAACCCCAGGGAGTGGATCCGGAAACGTCCCCAGTGGTGGAGCTCCCAGCATCGGCCCTTCCAAACACGGACCCTCGTCACAAAGCGGAGAATACAAGCGCGAGAAATCTGACAAAGAAGCTAAAGCTAAAGTTTCTGTGTCTGGAGGAAGCAGCAGCGATAAAAAGATGGACTCGAAAAGTGGAGGAGGAGGTGGGTCTGGTTTGGCAAAAATAATTATCAGCAAACCCGATGGTGGCTCACCGAGCATCAAGGCTAAAGTGTCTCTGCAAAAAACTGGCGAAGGCTCCGGGGATTCCATGCGGCCCCAGATTTCGAGTCTCAAGGCCTCCCCATTATTCAGCGGCTCCACTCCCAAACACGATCGCTCCTCCCCCAGCCACAGCCGCTCCCCCGGGTACACCCCCCTCAACCACGACAGCGAGTCCGAGTCCGGCAGCAGCTCGGTGGCAGAGAAGTCGCACCAAAACAGCCCCAGCTCAGACGACGACCAAACCATGAGGCCCATTCCTCCGCAGGACTACATGAGCTCCGTGAGTTCAGGAGAGAAGCACAAAAAACATAAGAAAGAGAAGAAGAAGCAGAAAGAGCGAGAGAGGGACAGAGACAGAGACAGAGATCGAGACAGAGACAAGGAGAAGAAGAAGTCCTCGATGTCCATGGGCTCCTCTCACCCCATCAAGACTGACAGTTGGTCCCGATCCCCCATTTCTGCGTCCGAGTCCAGTCTGTCGATGATGGGGTCTGAGCGGCCCTCCAGACCCAGCCCGCTCTACATGAGGAACGAAGACGACGACCTCATGGACTCCGCTGTGATCGGAAACCTGTGATTTTATTTGAAAAACGTCATATTCTGTATTTCTGTGAAAGACCTTTTTATTCACGTGTTTATTTATTCAACATTTGCCAAAACCTGGAATAGGATCGTTCAAGGAATCGTTTGGATTTTAAAATATTTAATTGTCTCATTTAAATGTTGTATTTCATCATTGGAGTTTGCGACGGCCATTTTTAAACTATATATTATCAGCTACACCCGTTCTACCACGGCAGTTTTAATATAAAAATGGTATATTTTTCTAATCCCGTAAAGTGCTTATTTGGATTCTTCCTTTTCCCTGTCTGTCATTATTATTATTATTGTGTCTGATATTGATTGTTCCACTGTATTCTGTGAAAGTATTGTACAGATAGAAGGACCCAGTGTTTGCCTTGTTCATCACATAAAACTAGGATTTTTATATTTGCAGAATTTATATGTAAATGACTTTGGAGGATGCGATTATGTGGGTTAGAAATGTAACAGGATCAAAGCTTGAAATAAATATTTCAATGCTGTGTCAAGAAACTTCAGGCCTTTGATTATGAATCCAGTGTTTCCTGATGTTTAACATTCTTACCACTAGATGGCAGCAGCTTTTCACTCGACAACTCCCAGATATTATTAATCTCAAGAAATATGTATAAATCAGATTGGTTTGTGACTTGAGGGACTGAAGTGAGTATTATGCTAACTATGAATGAATTTAGTCTGAAATCTAATCAATACATTTTTATTTTTATCATAAACAGGTGGAAAATTATAATATTCTTTAAAAAGTAGAAAATTATAATATTCTTTAAAAATTAGAAAATTATAATATTCTTTAAAAATTAGACAATTATAATATTCTTTAAAAATTAGAAAATTAGAATATTCTTTAAAAATTAGAAAATTATAATATTCTTTAAAAAGTAGATAATTAGAATATTCTTTAAAAAGTCAATTTATTTAAACTTACAATGTGAGACTAGTTCATGACAGACTCCATACGTGCAAAGTGAGATATATCAAGTATTTATTTGTTATAATGTTGATAACTATAGATCACAGCTGTTAAAAAAATCCAAAAATGTGTCACTGCATTTAATAAATCTGTATGTATTGGATTCACTAATGAACTTGAAGAATTATCATCTAAATGTTCAGTAACAGAAAACATTGTTGTGGGTATTTTTACAGTCAGGTTTGGATCGATTCTCATAAAGTCTCCTCTAGACACTAATCCACATGAGTTTACTAATAATTGGATTGAAATGCTTGTAACAGAGAAACACAGAGCGGTCATAATGAATTACCAGTACTGGGTCTTAAAGGGGAAGACATTTATTCATGATCACTCACTTCTTTTTGATTCCTATACGTTGGAATCAGTCGCTGTGATATGATCATGTATGTATAATGGCAGAAACATGGTGTAGCAGTGACACCGGGGGAGATAGTTCCAAATCAAATGTCAAATATGCTTCCTTATTTAGCCCTATCTCCAATTTCTGCTGACTCGGGCGTTTTAGATTCCCGGAAGCGGAGTCATACTGCTCGGCGAACAAGAGAAATGAATCTCTGTAGGTTGGACGTTCAGTGCATCTGGTTTGTACAGTGTTGGTGAGGTCTCTGACAATGTCCTCAAAGACGGGTCACAATCGTCCGTTTAAAACCTGGAACAAAAGCCGGTATATGAGCCAAGCAGGTGGCGTGCAGTTTAATGGCTATGGCTGGCTGTTAAAGTGCTTGTGGTTAAAGCTGGGGTACCTAACTTTGAACCGTGGTATAAAATCTGTCTGACTATAGTTATTAATCCGAGGGACACTGAGAGGCTGAACTGGATCATTAGAAAGGCGGGCTCTAAGGTGGGTCTGGGTCTGGATTCAGTGGAGGAGGTGGTAGAGCAAAGAACACTCTCCAAGATCAGGGTGATCTTGTCCAACCAGAGCCACCCACTAAATTCATTTTTTTTCCCGCCAGAGAAGCACCATGAGCTCCAGACTCCTCCCTCTGAGGGGCTCCAGGGACAGACTTAAAAAACTCTTTTGTCCCCAACGCCATCAGGCTCTATAACAAAGCCACTTCAGGGAGGAGCAGGGGGAGGGTCTTAAGAATTGTTTTGCAGTGCCTTAACTTCTCTTTATTCTCTTTTAATGTTTTTAATGTATTTATTGTCTCGTTTTTAACTTTTGCATCTTATAATTCTTACCTATGTATGTATCGTTGTATGACTGCGAGCAAGGGAGGAGTGCACAATTTCCTTCGGGATCAATAAAGTATATATCTATCTATTCTCAAACTGAAAAAAAAAAAAACGTTGCCTTTTTCACTACACTGGCTTAAACTAACATCTATCCATTCATTTTCTTCCCCTTAATCCATTACTGGGTTGGAGCGAGGGTGGCAGTCAGAGCACCCAATTCTTAAAACAAGGTTTGCCAATAGGACACAAATTAACCGACATTATTCCACATTTGAGCAATTTCTGACCTATTCGTAATCACTTTTTGCGGCAACATTCTCACTTACATGTGTGTTTTTTGCCTCTGTCACCGCTTTAGATCAACTTGTGACAATTGGGCTTAATTTGGACCCATTCTGACTGCCTTATAACAAGCAAAAATATCTTCAGCATGTATTTATGAAGTTGAGAAAAAGGTACCCCAGCTTTAAATGATATCACTCAAGATGTAAGACTAAAAACATGTTGTTCTGCTCTTGTGCCTTACATATGTGGGCTCAATGCAGTATGATTGTTATGAGAAATATATCATGTGGGGAGAGCATTGGCCTTTGAGCCGGAAGGTCGTGGGTTCGAGCCCATGTCGGGACCTACTCCAACTGCTCCCACTAATGTCTGCTGTCGTTGTGTCCTTGGGCAAGACACTTAACCCAACGTTGCCTGAAGCCCCCCGCTGAAACACTAAGGCTGTGGCACCATCTTCCTGAGGACCCACCCCCTGCAGAGGCTGGTGCTTTGAGCAGTGGGTGCAGCTCTCATTTCCCCCCCCGACCCAGAAATGGACTAATAAAGGGGTTTTATTATGTAGCTATTGTTCACTTAACTTGTGCCGTGTGCTCCTCATTCCTTCTGTTCTACAACTTGTGATGCAACACTGAAATTTAGGATAAAGGATCTCTTAATCTTTAAATAATAATAATGCATTGGTTTTATATAGTGTTTTTTGGACACTCAAAGACGCTTCACATGTCATTGTCCTTTCACTCCAAACACAGTGGTGATAAACTACTACTGTAGCCACAGCTGCCCTGGGGCACACTGACAGAAGCGAGGCAACCAGTCTGTGCCATCGGCCCCTCCCACCACCACCACCACCACCACCACCACCAACCACTCACACACACTCAGACTCATTTTGGGCAATGGGGGTGAAGTGTCTTACCTAAGGACACAACCACAGCAGACAGTGGGAGTCGACGGTGAAGGTCCCATGGTGGGCTTGAACCCACGACCTTCAGGCTCAAAGGCCAATGCTCTACCAACTGAGCCACTGTCACCCTGAATAGTCTCTATTTAACAAAACAATGTGACGCTTTCAGACCAGAATTATCGCTTTGTTCTCCCCCATGTGATACAATTGCAGTCTTTTTCTGTAAACATTCTTCTCCGTCCAGGCCACATTCGAAGCCTGCCAAGCTCTTCATTACCGTTCGGGCGTGCGGTCGTGCCAGGGCCTTCCGACCAATTTGTCAAATGCCAGACAAAATAAAAGAAACCCTGAAAGTGCAAGTTTCCCGCTTCTTCCTCCGTCAACCTTTTCAAACTGCTGATCGGCTCTTTCTCACCAGAACGGCTAATTTTGCCCATTGTGTGTTCTGCCACTCAAAACTTTAGCCTGGCTTTGGCCGCGGTGAAGCCTGGAGAAGATCCACGCTGGTCCCTCCTCTCTCCTTTTCATCTTTCTCTTGCTCTTTCAAGGCTCTTCAAACAGTCGGCCCCAGTCCCGCTGCTGCTCTGTGAAGTGAGGAGACTGGTTTATTCCCGTTTCCACTTCTCCTTTTCCCTAAATGTTAAACTTACCGCCTCTTATGTAACGCTGAAAGCCAAACTGAGCCAAGGTTTCTGAGTCACGTTGAGGTGTGTACGTACGGGCTTGTGCTGGAGGATGGAGAGAATGAGGAACCCTGTGACTGCAATGTCACGGCAGATGTCATTTCAAAAATATCTGTCCTGAGGTTTAAAGCTCGGGTAAGGCAAGGCAAGGCAAGTTTATTTGTATAGCACAATTCATACACAAGGCAACTCAAAGTGCTGAACAAGATGGCATTAAAAATAAATAATCACAGAACATTAAAAAGAAAGATAAAAATATAAAATCCCTCAGTTGTATGCACAGCTAAACAGAACTGTCTTTAACCTGGTTTTAAACATTGTCAGAGAGGAGGCCTGTCTCACATCTTCAGGAAGATTGTTCCAGATTTTAGCAGCATGAATCTGAAAAGCAGCCTCCCCATGTTTAGTTCTGACTCTGGACACTAACAGGAGTCCAGTCCCTGTGCTCCTCAGAGTCCCAGCAGGAGTCCAGTCCCTGTGCTCCTCAGAGTCCCAGCAGGAGTCCAGTCCCTGTGCTCCTCAGAGTCCGGGCTGGTTCATATGGGACTAACATGTCACTAATATGTTAGTGTCTTTGTAAACATTGTTTTTGAAAAGTGCTTTATAAATAAAGATTTATTATTATTATTATTATTATTAATATATTTTGGTGCGAGGCCATGGAGAGACTTGTAACAAGCAGAGCTGTTTTAAAGTCTATTCTCTGAGCCACAGGAAGCCAGTGCAGGGACCTGAGGACTGGACTAATATGGTCGTACTTCCTGGTTCTAGTCAGGACTAATGTGGTCGTACTTCCTGGTTCTAGTCAAGACTAATGTGGTCGTACTTCCTGGTTCTAGTCAGGACTAATGTGGTCGTACTTCCTGGTTCTAGTCAGGACTAATGTGGTCGTACTTCCTGGTTCTAGTCAGGACTAATGTGGTTCGTACTTCCTGGTTCTAGTCAAGACT